TAATCAATATATGATAGTCTATTTCAAGAATTATTTACTTTATTTTCTTTTTTTTTAATTAAGATATTTTAAAATTAATTTTTATACACCTTAAAATTAATCTTTTGATAGACAATTTTAAATGCATAATTTTTATAATGGTAAAAATAAATTATGTATATATTATTTTCATAAGTTAGGGGCATATTTAGAGTGATGACATGGTAGGGAAGATGAAACTTGTGAAACTTATAATTAAAATTCATAAAAAAAAATAAATTAATGAATGAGTGAGGTTTGATAGTAAATAGTTAATAATAGTGTTGGTGTTAAGAACCGCGTTAGGTGAGGGAGGCAACTAGTGTAAAAATTGAAAGTAGAGGGAGGATAGTAGCATGTTTTGGGAGAATATAAGGAGGTCTTTGAACAATTTCAAAGTATAGAGAGGACAATGAATGAAAAAGTAAAGTGGAGGGACTATAATTAGCTTAACCCAAAGAAAATTCGGTCAACAAAGCTTGGTACGACCGCGAAGCGTGGGACGCAAGGGTCATTAATTAATTGACCCGGGGAATTTAGCAACCTCAGAAAAATCCCAAATGGAAAAGCTACCTTTGAATAAAATTCCACAACACCATAATCATTCCGAAGTGGCAAAAGCAGCCCTGCGTGCGTCGCGCCGTGCTCCGCAGGTCCACCAGAGCTCCCCCCCATCCCCGACGAATCAGCATCATCACCGCCACTAAAGCAATCAATTATCGAACGGTCAGCAGTGGAATAAATTAAGCATCAGAGCTTTCCAATGTGCCTTTGGCTTAAGAAATTGAGATGGGACCTCCAATATCCTTGATTGAAAAATCTTTGACTCCCTACATCTATTCGTCCTTTTCAGCACTGGAAACGTGTATCACATGCCACCTGCAAAATGCTACGAAAAAGGAGTCTGATTAATTAGAAAGTACTACATGCAGTGGTGAGGACAAAATGGAGATAAAGATGGATCAACAATGGCTATCTTTATCTCAATTTCCATTCGCGAGTTGGGAAGGAGGCGTGGGAGCATTTTGGGTGTCATTGAACTATTTAAATTTTTTATTTGAATTTTTAACCGGTGGTTTAAATAATTTAAATATTCGAATTAATTTAAATAAAATTAAAATGGTTAAAATTAAATTTGATTTGAGAATAGTTATTAATTTATATTTCAAATTACTAATATTATCTATCAAATTATTTAAAATTATTTAATATGAATTTGTTTTATTTTTTATTTTGGTTTGAGTGTTACATGAAAATTTTTTGATAAAATTCTTTTTTCGTCAAATTTATAGATAAAAACATAAAAAATAAAAATAATTAAAATTAAAAAAATTAATGACAAAAAGTAAAATTCAATAATATATTCTAATTAATTTAATTAATTAACTGAATTACCTAATAATTTTAAATAATCAAAATCATAATTAAAAAAATTAGTATAAATTAAATATAAAAATTTTATATAATATCATTTCAAATAATTAACAATTTAATTCAATTTAAACAATCTCAACAAAATGTTGAACCTTTAATGAAAAGAGTAGCTTATCGATCAATATCAACTATTACTTTTACTTATTTTCAGAAAAAAAGTATATATGTATATCAATTAAGACTTCTTTTAGAGTGCCAAATTTACATTGGATGCGATAAAAAGTGTGTCCCATCCCACTGTAACTCATGCTTGATAAAGTAAAAGAATGCAATGATTATTGTCTAACATTTATCCACTGTAACCCGCCTCCCTCGTTGGGATGTAAGAGAAAGGGCCCTTTGAAATAAAAGAAAGAAATAAAATCATAGGTGGGAAATGATTGGATTTTACTGTTTTTATCTCTATATATATCTCCATCGTATCTCTGCCTTTACACATCGCCGTAGCACCAATAGCACACCGGAATCCATCTCTGTTAGTGGCCCGACAGGTCGCTTCTTCATCCGTACACTCTCTTTTCTCCTGGTTTTTCTCCATTTCCTTCTTTACCTCTTTTCTGGTTGGTTGCCCAGAGATCAGAGATGGTTGAGAGGTAAGTCCACTGGTTAACTTTAACTTATAATTAATCACGTAGTTAAGAATAATTTCAATTCCTCGGATCCATATTAAGGACAAGAGTTTTCGTTTTTTTACTTTGAGCAGTGCTAGGGGCACTCGCCTCTTGCACTCTCCGGCTAACACTTTCCCTTTCATTGGGCCACGTAAGCTTGTTCCAGTTTTGAAGTGCAACCTTTTGCCGACAAGAATAACGTGGCCCAATAAAGGTGAAAGTGTTGGCCGGAGAATGCAGGAGTCGAGTGGCCCTAGCACTCCTCTTTTACTTTTCAGCTCTTACGTGGTACCACATTTTCATTTATCGTTAATATTTTATTCATGTAATTTGGTTGAATTTTAAATTAATTT